TCGTTCTTTATTTTTTGACTTGCTATGTTGTCTCTGTCGTTCGTTATCACTTAACTCGTGGTTCAATCCCAAACCATAAAACCTAAAAAATAATACAAAATAATAATACAAAACAAAAAAAAACTTTTGAAGAATCCTCAAGTTGGCCCTGGACAAAATTGTTATCACATCTTTGCCCTATTCCTAATTCTAAAAAATGTGCAAAAAAAGGTAGCTATATATACTAAATTTTATCCGAGTTTTTCCAAATTACCCCTTAATTTTTTATTTGTTTAATTAAAAAAATAATATTAAAATTTTAATTAATTAAAAAAAAATATATAGAAACAGAAATCAAGAGTGCCAAGGTGCTGTGTATGGCACCACTGGCACCCTGCCAACCCACTCCCATGCTATGTCCCAACTGCTCCACACAATAACCCCCTAATTCATCATCCACCATTTCAACTCCTAACTCCAAATGATAAAAGGCCTTTTTCCCCAAATTCAACGTGGGTGACAATCCAAAAAGAAATAAAATCCCTGTAACCACCAATCAACAACCCTTACCAAGAAAGCCACTCAAAACCCAAGCACCAGTCCATGCTAGAAACTATGCCACACCCCAAGATAGGCCTTCACCCCAGCACTTTAACTACCTACAGTGCACCAACCAAAAAAACCACCTTCTCAACACAGTGGACAATCCAACCCCAAGGTGGGTACCATCTGGTCAAGCTTTCTATTCCCCATTCAACCAAAGCCCTACCACTTATTCAAAATACCCACCAGCTACTAGGCCACCCTCTGTTACCAGAAGCCTTCCCCAAAAAAATAAGTACCGATAACCAAACTCAATAATCAATAAAAAAAACACACACACGCACACACACAATAATCAATAAACCACAATCCTTACCAGATTTGGTGATAAACATAGTAGCAAAAAAAAGGAGGAAAAAACTTTCAGCTTGGGTGATTTAAAGTGTTTTGGGTTTAAATTTATGGTGAAAAGGAAGGCTTTAAGATGAGGAGGAACATAGTGGAAGTTGGTAGCATTGGAAGTGGTAAAAGGAACTTTTAAAGGTTTGTGCCATCGGATTTAAAGCCAGATATAGGATTTTAGGCTCGTATTTTGGCAAAATCATATAGAAAACATGTAAGAGAAGGTCAAAAGAAAGCTTGAGCTTGATTTTGGGGAGGAAAGGCCACTAACAGATGATGGCATCGACAATCAAGTGACAATAGTCGGGTGGGGCTTCATCGAAAATCGGGGGCTGAGAGAGCCTTTGGTTTTTTTTTTGAAAGAAAGGTTTTTCTTGTAAAAGAGGTTTGAAATAAAATTTTAAAAAAAACTTTGAGAATTTATAGTGTAGTAAAAAAAAAAGATGAAAACAATGTTGTTTTTAGGGCAAAAGATTTGGACGTAACCCGTGATCCAACCCGAGGTCCACACATCTGACCTAAGACCTTTTTCCCCTATTAATTGGTCCAACATAATTCATTTTGGACTGTTGTTGAACTGCCCCATGTTAACCATCGTTGATCGGGGTTGACTACCATTGACTAATATTAACTCGTCATTGATCGGCACAAAATTTTTTTTTTATTATTTTTGTCTCATATTTTTGTTAGTATTATTTTTTTTTTGCTATTATTGGTATTCTAATTTATAATTTAGAACATGTTAAAATAAATATAATAATGACAAAAAATAATAAATATAAAATTTATAACAACAAATAAATAAAAATAAACAATAAAAAATATTGTTAAAATTTTTTATAATTTTAAAATTTATGGTAAACCTTATAAAATAATGTAATATAAAAATAACTAAAGATAATTATGATAACAATAAAAAATAAAAAAGATTTCAAAACTTTTGAAATATTTAAATTTGAAAAAATAAAGAAAAATAATAACCAAAAAATAAAAAAAGCTAAAAAAATGTATTTATAAAAAAATTATAATGAAAATAGAATAATAATAATAAAGTTTTAAAATCCATACCTAGATGCTGGAGATAATAAAAAATTTGTGTTTTAAATAATAATAATTTTACCTAAATGTTAGAGAATTATTAAATAATAAAAATAAAATAATAAGAGATAAGCAAACAATAATAATAAATTTTATATAGACCATAAAAATTAATTTTTAAAAATTATGAAAAACGAGTTTGTTTCGAATAAAAATTAATTTTCAAAAATCTTAAAAATTGAACTTGCTTTGAAAGTTATTCTAAATGTTGAGAATTTTTAGAGATGTTAGCATTTTTTTAAACCCTCAAAACCCTAAAATTTGAACCCTAAAACCCTTCAATCTCTAACATCAAAATCCTAAAATCAACCCTAAACCTCCAAAATAAACCTTCCAAACCCTAAAACCTCTAAATCTTAAAACTTCGAAATGCTAAAACTCAAAATCCTAAAATCCAAACCCTAAAACTCTTCAAACCTTGAACCTTCCAAACCCCAAAACCCTTGAAACTCAATACCACAACCCTAAAATTCAAAATCCTAAAATCTTGAAACCTTAAAACAAGATCTTAAATCTTATAAATCCATCAAGACTCTAAATCTAACCCAAACCTTAAAATCAACACTTAACCCAAAATCACCACCCGAAAAATAAAATAGGATCTTAAATATAAATAGTCGCACCTAAACTTTGCCTAAATATTGGGGAGTCAAGATGGTCTCATTATATTTAAGAACCTGATTTTGAAAATTACATTTCATTTTCATACATAGCATCTATTGGCATGCAGACATCCATATGTTATTGTTTGCACTCGTTTCGCATATATTATGCCTTTATTTATTGTTTGCTATCTTATAGTACCATCATTTACTTTCACAAATAAAATGTTTTACAAAAAAAAAAAAAAATACATACTTTAAAAATGTGAAATTATAAAATAAAACAAAAATAATATTTTAGAGAAAATAATTCTTGGTACTCCGTCTAAATGTTGGAGAGTCACCAACAATCATCTTCTATAAAGAGTGCTATTTTCATTTTAAAGAATATTGTGATAAATCTTAAGTGAAAAGAGTTATTTTAAATTTTGTCTAGATGTTAGAGAATTTTAAAGTAATTCTTTAACTTAAATATTTTCTTGATATTCCTACAAAAAAAACTTTAATAATATTACTTTCTTTTTTAAAAAAAAAGGTAAAGAAAATTATTATTAAATTTCAATTCGAAACCATTATATCCAACACCGAAAGTAATGCATGATTAATTAGTACCAATTTATAGGTATTGTGGGGGTGCTAATCCTTTTCCACAGTAACCGACTCCCGAACCCAACTTAATTTTTCGTAGACAAAAATTTATCTTTTTAATAAATTTTAAACATGTTTTTATAGTTTTATTAAAAAAATAAATTTTTGGGTGACTAATCACATCCTAAAAAAGATTGGCGGTCTAACTATTTTCCTTGATTTAAAAATTTTTTTTGTCTAGCAATTCCAAAGTTGTTACGATAATGTAACTTTGACTTATTTACATGGTAATTGGAATGGATGAAATCAATTATTAAATTATGCAAATGGTTTTTATATTCATATAGAATTTAAAATTTAGTCTCTTTAATACAAAAAATATTTTGAAGTTTTTAGAAATTTTTTAGATTTTTAAAAATATTAAATTTTAAAAATTACCACAATATTCAATTATAATATTCTATTATAATATTGAAAAATCTATGATCATATTCTGTCAGAATTCTAGTTACATTTCGTCATAAAATCAAAAATTTTTTACTAATTTATCACACTTTTTTGTCACAATTATAGTATATTGTGACCATATGAAAAAAATCTTACATAAATCTATTAAAAATTCATCTCAAAATTTTTAATATATAATATAAATCTATCACTATATAATTTTAATGAAATTATTATTTTTATTAATTTATTAAATAACTTAGAATTATAATTCCATCCCAATGAGTAAAATAATCTATCAAATAATATTTCTATTCTTTTAAATTAAACCCTATTTAAATGATTTTTAATAATTAAATCTAGGTTGAAGATTCTAAATACATCAAAGTAATTTATTAAACCTAATGTGTATTGATTTTAGAATTAACTTTATTATTTAACTTAACATAATTATTTAGATAAGTTCTTTTTTCCAAAAAAACCAAAAAATTTGAAAGTTTTCATTATCATACACAATATTGATGTTCAGTTTATCGAATAAATTATTTCCTCATTTCATTTTATTAGGATTCAAATAAATTCATCTTTCAAATAAATAGAAACTCGTCCTATATAAGAATCTAGATTTGATTTCTTATTTTGTTTGATTGGATGAAATAATCATTCTATGTATGGTTTATTTCGAATTCATTATAAATGTAACTCTATTCAATAATTTGATTTTTTATAAATTTTGTTATATGATATGTTTAAACTAATTAAAATAATATTAATTTGGATATATTAATTAAATTATTAATATTACAATTTATTAATATAAATTATAATAATATTATTTTTAATATGATAGTATTAATAATTAATAATGTATAATAAAATATATATATATTTAAAATTATTTTTTATATTAGAAGGACTAAAACTTTTTTAAAATTAATAATTTAAAAAAATTCTAAAAATTTCAAAATATGTTTTATATTAAAGAGACTAAATTTCAAATTTTGAGTAAGCATATTAACTAAATTTTAAATTTTATACTAGTACAAAGATTATTTATATAATTTAACTATTGATTTTATTTATCTAAGTTACCATTTCAATAAATTAATGTCACGTTAACAATTTCAATGTTCATGTCATCAAGTTAATAATTATATTAACATTTTTAATGACAAAAAATTTATGAGATTAGTGAATAAATTAAAATTATTAAATTAAAATAATATAAAAATTAAATTTATATAAATTACAGTATAAAAATTAAATTCTAAAGAATATAAACATTTCCAGCATAATTTGAAAAAAAGAATCTAAAATTTTGGTAGATAGCGTATGTTGTAGTAATTAGTACATAACTAATTTTTCATTTTTATAGCAGCCAAAGAAGCCGAAAGCCAAACCATCTGAAATCGGAAACAAAAGAAAGGTATGGCCCCAATGCTATCCAAAAGCCTCGTCCTCCGCCGCTCTATTCTCGACCACTGCCCATCCTTTCTTCGCCACTTTTCATCAAAGGCCGAGCTGTTTGAAATCGACCTAGACTCTGCTTCTTCATCAGCATCCGCCATTAACAAAATGGAGGAAATCGTCCATAACATAATTGTCCAGAAGTCTACCCCTGATTGGCTCCCTTTCCTCCCAGGCTCCTCCTTCTGGGTCCCTCTTCCTCGCCATGGTTCCAAGCGAGTTTCTGATTTTATTGAGCAATTGACCAATCAGCTCACTCACGACGAGTATCTCTCTCTCACCACTGGCCGCGGCTGGCCCTGCATATCCTTTTTCGACGGAGGTAAATTACTATTATTATTATTATTATGTTTTTCATTTTATTTGATGGTTTTGAACAGATGGGTGTTAGGTATTTTCATGAGAGTAAATTTTGGGATTTGGGTTGTGATGGTGACTATGCAGACGTAGCAAGCATGGATGTGAAGGTGAAATTTCCAGAGCAGGAGGAGGGGGAAGTTAAGGTAGAGGTTTTGATTCATTCAGGCGACAAATCTTCTTAAAATGTGGACGCTGATGATTTGGATAATTTCCATCTCTCGACATACTTCCTCTCATGTGAGTGCTTGATTTTTTATTTTTTTTCTTCTTTAATCGTGCTTTATTTGATGGCTTAATTCTATTGGTACATACTAAACAGCTGAAAATTCAGTATAATGTTTTTTAGCCTCTTTAAACTGCGCAATTTTTTTAAGTTAATGAGCTTGCACAGTTTTTAGTATTATAGTTTGGGATGGATTTTTATGAATGAAAATACAAAGACTTGTTTATAGTTATACATTAGTTTCCTAGTTAACTGTTCAATAGTCTTAACTCACATTTGATGCCTGAAAGCCCTTTCCAGAACCGGAACTAATGATTGGTGTAGACTTCAAAATCCTCAATTACAATGAGATGTACACTTCAAAAGCTCTACCATATAGTGAGCTCGAAAAACTCAAACAACAAACTAATGTTTGTATTTTTAACCATTGGAACTCAAACAACTAACGAATTTATTGTTAATAATTGTATTCGTACTTGGAAAAAAGTAAATGTAAAATTTTGTAACTTTATGTTGAAGGTTACAAGCAACAAAATAAAAAAAAAAAAAAATTCAACATATGCTTCAACCTTACAGATGCGTAAAGAGAGAAAAAAGAGGAATTATCCTTGAGTGTAATGGCCTCTAAAATAACCCTCAGAAATGAATTGGGACAAGAAAATCTGGCAGTTTAATGGTGGAGAAATTGCCAACTATAATTGTAATGCTTTTGATTCTATTACCTCTTTTGCCCTTTTACATAAAATATAATAAATATTTCGATTTATGTAATTTTTTCTCTTAAAAATTAGTTTCAAGAAAGAACAAGGGGAGGGAAAGATTAGGAGAAAAAAAGGGTGTTTTGTCCAGCAGCGGTGCAGAAGCACTGTCCTTCACTGGCTGGGCTTTCTGCAGCAGGGAAGCTGAATCCGGATCCTACGAGGCCATACAGTCCTCTCAGCTGGTCAGATCCAACCTCTAGAAGGGAATAACATTCAATTAATAGTATAAAAAATCATTACATTCTAAACTCTAGTATTTTAAATTATGAGATATGGTCTAAATTTACCACTCTGGGTGATAAATCATATTTATAGCCTTGGTCTATATTTACCACTCTACTTTGGGTGATAAATCATATTTATAACCTATCTTTGAACATATATAATTTTATCATTATACCTTTTAATTTGGTTCAAACATGGTCAAAATCATCTAAGTTGATATAACCTCACTCTTAAATTATCCAAACTTGATGCAATTTGAAAATAAAAAATCTATTGGATTTTAAATGGATTTGAAAATCATAATGACTTGAATTTATAATTTGACTTGTATAAATTGATCTTTATTTTTATGATACAGAAATGCATGTTACAAGGTCTTTACCACACACACACACACACACACACACACACACACACACACACACATATATATATATATGTGTATTTGCTTTTCCATGTATAAATTTATGTTGTCAATCATTTGCTGCATTTGATCTTATTTATTGAATAGCTAAATTGTCCAGTCTAGAATTAGTGTTCCTCTCCCCTATATGCATTTTTTTTTTTTTTTTGCCTTTTCAAAACAAAGCCAGAAAGACCTTTAGGGGGTGCACTTATGGGGAATTTAGACAATGAAACATAGGTGGTTGGAAACGAGTGAATAGTGGATAGGGAGTTTTTCTCCTTGCTCTATACAATATGAAAAGACCTTTAGGAAGCAGTAAATCTGTTTGGAGAAGGCAATTGAGGGTTGGTGACACTTGGAAGGACCATTTCCTAAATTGTCCTGGAGCAGCCAAAAAATATTTTGGCTGGCAATTAGGATTTTGAGTTTGGACAATCTAGCGGAGGCATTCAGCTGTGGAAAACTCCTTAAAATGCATCAGTTTAAAATTGATTTTGGTTTTACTTCATGGAAGCCAGAGTGGTCTTATTGACGGTGATGTTATGTTATGTTCTCTAGTACTCTGATTTTGGAAAATGTATGTCAAGGTTTAATATTGTGCTGAAAGTAATTGGATTTCTTGGAGCGAGCATAGAGTCAAAGGTTTTTGCATGCTTGAACAAGTAATGCTCTAGAAAACTGTTTTGTTTTTGCAAGAGCTGGAAAAGTATTAATATGATTTGAACATCTGGAAAATCAAAGTAATGATTGTCGTTGTGTATTAGCAGCAAACAAAATGCCATGTTTCTTTTAGTACAAAATTTTATAGGCTACAGGCATTTGAGTACATTTGAATAAATAGGCAGCTATTAGCTCAATTCATATAAATAAATTATACGTAATTTCCATGTTACAAAACTAATGATTATACGGAGAAAATCTGTTGCTAATTTTCTTCAACCCTTTTCATATTTATGTATCTTATTAATGTTTAGCATATGCAGGCTTGCTTACTTTTCACATCTATTTCGTAATGGGAGAGGCTACTCAATGAAATGCAAGTGAAATGCTGTACAGATGCAATTCTGTAGTTTTTGGGATGGAGATTTTGATGTTCCTGCTTCTGCTTTGTTAGCTTAATTCTACTCTGAAGTTGCTGATGCTTGGACTGATTACTGATGTTTACTGTACATTTGCATCAATCACTGACTGGATGATTAGTCTCTTTTAGCTTTTGAAGTTATTTAAAATAAAATTTCGTGGCTCATGGATTTGTTGTTTTTTTAGGCTTTTACATTTTGTCTTTGATCATCTTCATAACAATTTAATATCTGTCTGTCATAGACTGAAATGCCCTGGCATTGTCAAGGATTAACCCAAGCTTTTGTCCACCTTTAGATATCTCTCCTCAGTCCTGACCCATATTCAGCATGTAATCGTAATCCATTAGGATGAGAATTAAGAATGGAAGATAAGTACTCAGTAGCTCATGAATTTTTCTTCATAGATTTGCATCTACAGTGCACTGATAAAATGTTACAGGGGGTTTCTCGGATTGAATGGTTCATCATCGCAGTTCAATCGTTTAAACCAATTGGAAATTGATTGAGAAATGCTTTAGATCTTAAAGCATAACATCACTGTTTATTGATCATGGTTCAAATTGACAGCTTTACGTTAAAAAAAAAAAATGAATGGCTGCAGTTAGTATTAACTCTACTAAATTATAAAGGGTTTGAAGATTAGTAACGTGATCCTTTTCAAAATGTGACCTTGAAAATATGTTTTCTATTAGTATACCTGGCGTAATATGTTGTGAATATTGTTTTTGAGTTAAAATTGACTTTCTTCTTTGTCTATTTAATCTTGTGCCCATATTACATAAATAAATCTTATTTACTTACTAATAAACTACAAATAATTTATTAAATAAACCATATAAATCCATCAAAGAATTAATATGTTTTGAATCTTGTGCACATCTGAACATATTGGACAACAATTTATTCGAAAGATCATATGCCAACTAATTTTATTATGTTTATTTTGTAACTCTAATTGCTGCTGAAATTATAGTGGTTATTAAATTTTTTGAATCATTAAAAAAAGTTTAATAATTGTAATTATAGTGTTTATTAATTCTTTGAATAATTAAGAAACTTTTTTATTATAATGTATCATAGATTTAGCTTTGATCTATAATTTAAAATATTTGATCATATATATCATATATTTTATCTTATATAAATGTATAAAAGCCAAAGCTTCTATATATCAAATTACCTTAAATAAATATTTTGACTAAATTAATTATAATTATTCACTTCTAAAACCAATATTCTTACCCTCAATAAATTGCTATTGAAACTTACTTAAATCACTCTTAATTGAATTTAATTTTCAATTAGATTAATTAAATAATTCGTTCTCTTTTCTTTAGCCTTTTTCTACAAAGAAAGAGTTTATTTGCCAAGATCAATTATAGATAAAGGCATTTTCCAATTTACACCACCATTTTTAGTACATAAACATTTATGTATATCTAGCCATTATATCATAAATGTTAGCATTTATTTAGTTGAAAAGTTAGAAAGAATTGTAAGGTCAAATATCTTTCTTTAAAATCCAATTAAATATAATTAAAATAATGAAATTTAAGGTTTGAAATTTTAATTTTTACCTAAAATCATTGAGATATGTTGGCCCTTTTACATAAATAGGGTTTTTAAGGGTTTAACTTAAATAGTTTATACTGCATATTAATACCATTATACGAAGGTGATAAACGTGATGTTTAACTTTGCGGCTTCCCCTTTATTCTCTATTTTGTTTGCACCTCTTTTTTTTTCTTTTTCTTTTTCTTTAATACAGTTTAAAATTTTGTTTTCATTGATACGTATAAAATAAATGAATTTCATTTGGTATTGGGATAATTGGAATTTAGAAAATGTTGTAATCCCATGCAAGCTAATTAGTGTAAGCCATCCATATTTGTTTGAGTATTACCTTATGTACCATATCCTGTTTTTTTCATGGCAAAGATTCTTCATTATAGTATTTGAGACTAAACATGTTCCTAGCAACAACTTGTTACCAATTAGAAAAGACAACTTGTTACCAATTAGAAATGCTAATAAAACTTTGTGGTTAATATTAATTACATAGCATACATATATTTTTTTGCACATAAAAATTATAAATTACTTCATTAAAATATAAATTAAAAATTAAATATAAAGATAAACTAAAGCAAGCAATTTAATATTGTGTATGAAATATTTAGATTAATTTCTAAAGCATATCAACATATTTGTATATTATATAATATTGTTCCAAAAACTAAAAGCAAATTAGTTGTTTTCCACTAAAAAGCGAATTTTAATATTAAAAAATAATAAAAGAAATCAAACTTTGAAATAAAGCTGAATAAAACAAATGGAAACAAATCAATGGAACAAATACAGAAAAGAAAAGAGAGAAATGGAACATAATAGAATTATAAAACAAATATCCAATACTATTATTTCAAATGGACAAAACCATATTCCTATTTATAATGTTGAAGTTGGTATGAAAAATTAAGAATAAAATTTAATTGAGAGTGATTTAAGGTAAATAACAATTAACTTTGATTACAAATTGAATTGAACTTATTTATATAAGATAAGAGTAATAAATATTTAAGAGAGAATAAATGCAATAATTTAAATGAAATATATTTACTTTTTTTATATTAAAAATAAATCAAATCAAACTAAGTATATTCATTTTTTAAATTAAAAATACAAAAAATAAAATATATTTATTAGATGACACATGACGCTTATTCATGATCGTACATGTGTCAAAAAAATAGAATATCCACATTAGTTAGATTTTTTCTTTTTTACCAAAAGTTTGAGCTTTTATATATTTATATAAGATATAAGACATTCTATTTTCTTACAAAAATTTTAAGTTTAATTTTCTTTAACAATAATAGTTTGAAAGAAAAATATATTTTTATATTTGAATTTAATTAGTGCACTATGTTTTCAAGACAAAGATCTATTCTTCTTATTGTAATTAATGCATAATTGTTATTTGATTTTTAATTCATTTATTTGTCCAATAATTTCCTATATATACATAGTTTTCTCCATCAATCATGTTGACTGATCAAACTTTTTAAATGTTATACCATTCAAAGTAGATTAAATGAATTTTTTCTATCAAAGAAAGTTTAGGTGGTATCCTTGAAAGTTTGAGTAATTTTCCTTCCTGCCTTTAGGAAAAATTAGATATGTAAAGTTACTAAAAACCAAAATCATAAAAATTTTTATTTTTGAAAATAATATAAAATATAGGTGATTATCAAAAAAAAATTGTTGGTATGAAATTTGAGTTGAAAACCTTCAAAGTAGATTAAATGAATTTTTTCTTTCAAAGAAAGTTTAGGTGATATCTTTGAAAGTTTGAGCAATTTTCCTTCTTATATTTACGAAAAAGTAGATATGTAAAGTTATTAAAAACCAAAATCACGAAAATTTTTATTTTTGAAAATACTATAAAATATTGGTGATTATCCAAAATTTTTGTTGGTATAAAATTTGAGTGAAAACCTTCAATGGAACATATAAGTTAAATATATAAGAATAAATAGTATTTTAATAAAATAAAATAATATTGGTCTGTGATTTAGCAAATAACTAAATGCACAAAAATATAGTAGTAAAATGAAAAAAAGAGAGAAATCCGGCAAACAAAAATGAAAAAAAGAAATATGGTCACACATATTTCTTTATCTTTTTTTTTAAACATATTTCTTTATTGCAATACATAAGAAAGAAACCAAAACACTAATATCTAAACATAAAGCAAGTCATGTTATAAAACAATAACAATTCTTGTGCTGCGCATAGAATTCTAAATATTCATCTGAAATCAAATACTATGTTCATTGAACTTTTAAAAATGCATAGAATACTCACATTAAAAATATTGATTTGAAATCAAACACTAATTAAAAAAAATAAAAAAAAAACTAAATAAATTAATTAAATAGCACAATTATATGGAAAGTAATTCCCACAGTATCAGCCATTAATAGATTAATAACTTCAAGGGATGGGATAGTCCATAATAAAAAAAAATACCATGCTTAGCTTACTTACACAGCATTTAGCCTTCTAATCCGCCACAAAGTTTTTTAACCCGAAAACATGTTACAACTTCATCTCCAATCTTTTTAATGGCTCCGATAAGATAGAAATAAGGGTGGTTCTTGCGAGACTTGTTCATAAAAATATATGTAAGTGTATTGTCTAAAATAATTTGTAAAGAAATATAATGAAGAGATATAAAAAGATAAAGAAAATGTCATAAACGATAAATTTGAATCGTGTAAAAAGGGTAACGACATGTTAACTTTTTTCATTCTATGAGAATTATAATCTGTACAAAAATAAAATAATTGCAAATGCAAAAAAAAAAAAAAAATACTCTAAATGCTAGAAAAGTTACAACATAGTCTAAAAGTCATTAAGGGTTGAGCTGTCTATTTATAATAGTGAATAAAGGACATAATAGCAAGGTTTTAAATATGAATATTTAATGTATTTATCTTAAAAGGAAAAGAAAGATTTACAATATGAATTGTATAATAATTTTTTATTGACAATTATTTAAAATATTTATATGGCCGTAACTATTAGAATTATTGTTAGCTATTGTTTCTAATTTAAATTATATTTACTTTTAAAATTTGAATTTAAATGGCTCTAATGTAAAAGATAGTTTCAAATGTAAAAAGTAAGTAAAATAGAGTCTTCTCTAATATATTTGGTCTTTCAATACTCAATTAAATAATTTATATTAATTTATAGACATATGATCATAAATATAAGAAAATTACCTTAAAACTTAGTTTTTAGGGTTTATGGAACCTCTTATTTGTAATAGTACAACACACGCATATGTATAAGGTAAGTCAATAATTTATTTGGTCTTTCAATATGAAATTAAATAATTTATATTAATTTATAGACATATGATTATAAATATAAGAAAATACCTTAAAACATAGTTTTTAGGGTTTATAGAAACTATTACTTGTAAAAGTACAACACACACATAATATATATATATATATATATATATTTATATAAGGTAAGTCAATTGAAAATGTAAAAGGAAAGAATTTAACAAAATCTATTATATAAAATATTTTAAAATTTATATGAAATCAAATAAAACTAATTAAATATAGGACATGTGCCGATTGTTTAAGACTGTCCAAATGTCAAAAGAATAGACTAGACACCTTGGAATTTTTCCTTTTTTACTAAAGGCTTTGGCTTTTGTATAAGATTATATAGGATATAAGATAAGTTGACTAAAAACTAAAAATGAAAGTAATGAAAGTAATTTATTGAATGTATAAAAACTATCATTTAATAAAAATTTAATTTTATTATCATTATTGTAGACACCACAATCTGTCCGAAGGTCTACATTTGGTTTTTGTTAAAAAATACAAAAAATGAAAAGGCTGAAAAAACGAGAAAAGTGGTTGAATTTGGGAAGGGCTAAGTTGAAGAGTTTAAACTGAATTAGGGTTTGGAGTTAGAAGTCAGAAAGAATGGAAATCCCATCTGATTTAGGGCTCTCAGATTGAAGCCCTATAAATAAGGCCAGAAAACATTCAGGGAAAATGAGAGAAATAAGAAAATAGAAAAAGAAAAGC